TAAAATAAACATATTGCTAAAATATTTGTTGTTGGAGAAATAAATGTGCCATATGTGGAATTTTAAACCTACAAGTATATATTTTTAATGAAAGTGAAATTATAATGGGGTAATCAAATGCAGGCTAATAAATAGTTTGTGCTTTTGTTTTTGTTTTTATTTTCATTTTTAGTTTAGCTTTTAGTCAAATATAAACAAGCTTTTTTGCACATAATATATTGCATAGCCTATATTATATTTTTTCCATATCCTTCAATATAACATTGTTTGTAGGGTATCATTGGGCGAATGTGAATATATATATAATATAATATATATATTTATTTATTTATTTTTTTTTTTTCAATATAAAGATTTTCTTATCTAATAGAAAACGTAGAAAGTACCGGATATATATCGTATAATCGCCATTTGACCAAAAATATCGAGATATGATTTTTTGGCCATATCGCCCAGCCCTACCACTGTGGTTTTTTTTTTTGGGTCGAAATTTTGAGTTTCAATATCTTAGCTCTGGAAGGGTCTAGAGCCTCCATTTTTGCACTCAGGTTTAAGTCTCATGGCCCTCTATTAGAATCCAGAGTTTTGAGAGGATTGGAGAAACTTCATTTTTCGCCTGAAAAAAAAAACGAAAGGGGTACCACTGTCGTTTTTTTTTTGGGTCGAAATTTTAAGTTTCGATATCTCAGCTCTGGAAGGGTCTAGAGCCTCCATTTTTGCGCTCAGGTCAAAGTCTCGCGGCCCTCTATCATAATCCAGAGTTTTGAGAAGATTGGAGAAACTTGATTTTTCGCCCGAAAACTGAAAAAAACGTAAGGGGTAACACTGTCGTTTTTTTTTTCGGGTCGAAATTTTGAGTTTCGATATCTCAGCTCTGGAAGGGTCTAGAGCCTCCATTTTTGCGCTCAGGTCAAAGTCTCGCGGCCCTCTATCATAATCCAGAGTTTTGAGAAGATTGGAGAAAACTGATTTTTCGCCCGAAAACTGAAAAAAACGTAAGGGGTAACACTGTCGTTTTTTTTTTCGGGTCGAAATTTTGAGTTTCGATATCTCAGCTCTGGAAGGGTCTAGAGCCTCCATTTTTGCGCTCAGGTCAAAGTCTCGCGGCCCTCTATCATAATCCAGAGTTTTGAGAAGATTGGAGAAACTTGATTTTTCGCCCGAAAACTGAAAAAAACGTAAGGGGTAACACTGTCGTTTTTTTTTCGGGTCGAAATTTTGAGTTTCGATATCTCAGCTCTGGAAGGGTCTAGAGCCTCCATTTTTGCGCTCAGGTCAAAGTCTCGCGGCCCTCTATCATAATCCAGAGTTTTGAGAAGATTGGAGAAACTTGATTTTTCGCCCGAAAACTGAAAAAAACGTAAGGGGTAACACTGTCGTTTTTTTTTCGGGTCGAAATTTTGAGTTCCGATATCTCAGCTCTGGAAGGGTCTAGAGCCTCCATTTTTGCGCTCAGGTCAAAGTCTCGCGGCCCTCTATCATAATCCAGAGTTTTGAGAAGATTGGAGAAACTTGATTTTTCGCCCGAAAACTGAAAAAAACGTAAGGGGTAACACTGTCGTTTTTTTTTTCGGGTCGAAATTTTGAGTTTCGATATCTCAGCTCTGGAAGGGTCTAGAGCCTCCATTTTTGCGCTCAGGTCAAAGTCTTGCGGCCCTCTATCATAATCCAGAGTTTTGAGAAGATTGGAGAAACTTGATTTTTCGCCCGAAAACTGAAAAAAACGTAAGGGGTAACACTGTCGTTTTTTTTTTCGGGTCGAAATTTTGAGTTTCGATATCTCAGCTCTGGAAGGGTCTAGAGCCTCCATTTTTGCGCTCAGGTCAAAGTCTCGCGGCCCTCTATCATAATCCAGAGTTTTGAGAAGATTGGAGAAACTTGATTTTTCGCCCGAAAACTGAAAAAAACGTAAGGGTTAACACTGTCGTTTTTTTTTTTCGGGTCGAAATTTTGAGTTTCGATATCTCAGCTCTGGAAGGGTCTAGAGCCTCCATTTTTGCGCTCAGGTCAAAGTCTCGCGGCCCTCTATCATAATCCAGAGTTTTGAGAAGATTGGAGAAACCTGATTTTTCGCCCGAAAACTGAAAAAAACATAAGGGGTAACACTGTCGTTTTTTTTTTCGGGTCGAAATTTTGAGTTTCGATATCTCAGCTCTGGAAGGGTCTAGAGCCTCCATTTTTGCGCTCAGGTCAAAGTCTCGCGGCCCTCTATCATAATCCAGAGTTTTGAGAAGATTGGAGAAACTTGATTTTTCGCCCGAAAACTGAAAAAAACGTAAGGGGTAACACTGTCGTTTTTTTTTTCGGGTCGAAATTTTGAGTTTCGATATCTCAGCTCTGGAACGGTCTAGAGCCTCCATTTTTGCGCTCAGGTCAAAGTCTTGCGGCCCTCTATCATAATCCAGAGTTTTGAGAAGATTGGAGAAACTTGATTTTTCGCCCGAAAACTGAAAAAAACGTAAGGGGTAACACTGTCGTTTTTTTTTTCGGGTCGAAATTTTGAGTTTCGATATCTCAGCTCTGGAAGGGTCTAGAGCCTCCATTTTTGCGCTCAGGTCAAAGTCTCGCGGCCCTCTATCATAATCCAGAGTTTTGAGAAGATTGGAGAAACTTGATTTTTCGCCCGAAAACTGAAAAAAACGTAAGGGGTAACACTGTCGTTTTTTTTTTCGGGTCGAAATTTTGAGTTTTGATATCTCAGCTCTGGAAGGGTCTAGAGCCTCCATTTTTGCGCTCAGGTCAAAGTCTTGCGGCCCTCTATCATAATCCAGAGTTTTGAGAAGATTGGAGAAACGTGATTTTTCGCCCGAAAACTGAAAAAAACGTAAGGGGTAACACTGTCGGTTTTTTTTTCGGGTCGAAATTTTGAGTTTCGATATCTCAGCTCTGGAAGGGTCTAGAGCCTCCATTTTTGCGCTCAGGTCAAAGTCTCGCGGCCCTCTATCATAATCCAGAGTTTTGAGAAGATTGGAGAAACTTGATTTTTCGCCCGAAAACTGAAAAAAACGTAAGGGGTAACACTGTCGTTTTTTTTTCGGGTCGAAATTTTGAGTTTCGATATCTCAGCTCTGGAAGGGTCTAGAGCCTCAATTTTTGTGCTCAGGTCAAAGTCTCGCGGCCCTCTATCATAATCCAGAGTTTTGAGAAGATTGGAGAAACTTGATTTTTCGCCCGAACTGTCGTTTTTTTTTCGGGTCGAAATTTTGAGTTTCGAGATCTCAGCTCTGGAAGGGTCTAGAGCCTCCATTTTTGCGCTCAGGTCAAAGTCTCGCGGCCCTCTATCATAATCCAGAGTTTTGAGAAGATTGGAGAAACTTGATTTTTCGCCCAAAAACTGAAAAAAACGTAAGGGGTAACACTGTCATTTTTTTTTTCGCGTCGAAATTTTGAGTTTCGATATCTCAGCTCTGGAAGGGTCTAGAGCCTCCATTTTTGCACTCAGGTTTAAGTCTCATTGCCCTCTATTAGAATCCAGAGTTTTGAGAAGATTGGAGAAACTTTATTTTTCACCCGAAAAAAAAAACGAAAGGGGTACCCAGAGTGCTCCCTCCCACAGGTGGAGAAATTTTTGAATTAACAAATAAGAAAAAAAATTGACTTTTCCTCTTTTATTATAGAACACATACAAACTACTTAGGCAAGGCGCTATTGCCTTACACATCTCTCTCCATGACGGTGAGAGACACATTTATACATTAGGCAGTAAATGAACCAAGAACATCTGATCTAACATTAACACACATAACTATCACAAAAACTTAATGATCTTACTGCAATAACACAACTCTCAATAAAAAAAATACCCATAAAATTACACATAACCTGCAGCAGTCTTGTCTGTCTTCTCATTAGCAACAGTATTTTTGTGTACTTATATTCTATACTTGAGTTTACATTTTTTTAAATGAATTTGACTAATAAAAAGTGTGGATTGGTGCTTTATCCTGCCTTTTTAAAATAGTTGAATCAATGATCGCGAGATGCGATCGTAGATCAGAACGCCCGCAGCATAGAGGAGAATGAGTCAACTCTGAAAATTAATTAAGCATTTTGGTCATGTTAAAGGGTGTATTGGATGGGCTTTTATTCCGGGTTTGGTTTTATTTGTTGGAAAAATAAATATAGAAATATAATTTGACACAAGAGGGCAGTAAAGCCCTATTTATGGTTGTGAGTTTAAACTAACCGTGACATCTTTTCCAAAGTGGACCAACGTGATTATTTCACGTCTTGTCGTGATACGGGTTGGGCACTGAAGTTACAGGAGTTTCTTCTCATTGCTAAGCAATGGAGCTAGGTCGAGTATTTAAAAGGTTATGGTTAACACGGTTAACGTGGTTTAATATCGATGTAATACGTTGTTTTTAGCGTACCTTTTGCTTAAACGAGGAGCTGGGGGGACGCCGGAAAAATAGACATTTTACTCATTAGCCTGCTTCATTAAAAACTTGACATTTAGACATTTTCTTCGGCGTGGATCCATGCAAATGAATCATTTTCACCTTGAAAATAATAAAAGTTTTTTTTTTTTTTTTTTGCATTTTAAATAATAGAACATTTCTCAGTGATCGTAAATAAAACAAAATTCCATTTTCTCGGTTTAATGAAAACCAATAGGTCGTTATGGCAGAGGCGAATAACGCAAACGACTAAATAAATAGTCTAGAAATAAATTGTCAAAATATCGACGTAATTCGAATCAATAAGGTTTGATGTTGTTTTAGAGCTATGAATTATCTTCAACTTGCATATTGGTCATTTAACTCCCCTGTGATGTCTCTTGGTGTATTTAGTATCAGTACTCTCAACTGAAACTTTTGTTATGTCTACTATACTATTATTATTATTTCACCAATTTCATGTTTTTATTTGGATTAAGGGTAAATATAAAAATATATTATTTTAGTGTTTATGTGTGACGTTACATCCTGTAAATCTTATTCTACTTGAAAAAGAATATGAGATATATTATTGTACATTTATATTTACTTTTTCCATAGGCAATCATAAATGCCCTGTCTGTCTCCTGGCTGGGATATCTCCTCACAGGAGGCTGAGCAGGTCTTCCTTTCTGGATTATCATTGCAGGTCAGAGTAGATTATTCATTATTTTTGCACAATGCCCCGTGCACCCTTTTGTTACTGATAATTCTGTTACAGTAACACAACTGTGACTGTTCTCTGATAACTATTTCAGTGAAGTGGAAGATTTTAACTGACAAATTGACAAACAATTGAGGAAAGAAAGGAGACCATTCAATTGTTGGCTGTTACTTTTACATTTACACATTTGGACTCTGGAATTAGATGTCAGTAACATGAATATTCAATTTGACTTTCTCTCTCTCTACAACTCCAACATTTCATAACTGTTTAGTGTTAAATCTGAAATATATATTTGAACATGTTAAACTCATTTGTATCTCTCTCTCTGTCTCTCTCTCTCTCAGAGTTGAAGCCATTCCTGCAGCAACTGGTGGAAAACGGGGGATCTTTTTGGTGCTTTTATAATTTATCTATTTATCTAACATAAATAATTTTGTTCTTTCGTATAATATAAATAAATACATATGTATATAAATAAATTCATGCTTGAATCATTCTCGAGTTTTGCCTTCTGATATTCTGGCCATATCATTTAGTGACTGCATGTGCTGATTCCATCGTTATTTTATCTGATAATGAGCAAATTAGTTAAACTTGAGTAGGTTAATCAATATACAGCATAATTCAAGAAACTAGGGCTCACACCACTTTTCAGTTGAATAAGATTGATATACATTTTTAATTTGTTTTGTATAAATTTACATTTTTGTAAATGTCTCTGATGCATTTTGAATAAAAAAACACATTTTATAAAAATACTCCTGAGATTAAATGTCTTTCGAACTATGTACATACAAACTAAAACAAGGGTCCTGTAACCGGGGTCCTAAAGCTGCAGCCTCCGATTGTGCAGGGATTTGCTCTGAACAACTGACATTGGTTATTTTAACAAAAAGTTATCACACTTGCATAAATGGGTCATTTTTTAACCATATGTGTAAACTTGATGTATTAACACAAAATATTACATTAAAAAAATCATTTGTGACCAAGATATTTTGAACTATGATGATATTTTGATATGTTAAACTCATAAAACCTGTACAGAAGAGGAAGCGAGAGATTAACTGTTTTTTTATGTATTAGAATATTGTGCAAAAGTTCATTTATTTCGGTAATTCAACATAGCTATATGCCGTAATCATCAAATTTATAACACATAAAGGCTTGAAATATCTCACTTTGCATATAATGACTAATGAGTAGATTATATATTAGTATATGATTTAAGGTTTACATAAATTCCATTCTGCCATTTCAAAGTAATTTGCTATAACAGGCATTAACAGGTGAATTCTTAATTTGTAAAAATGCAATATTTCTATAACCACATAGAAAGAAATGTTTAAAAAAGTTTTTTTTAATTATTTTTTAGAAGGGATAACTATAAGTGCAGTTTGGATCCCATATAATTAAGAAAGAGATAAAAACTCATTTTAGTTTAAGTATAGATGCTCCCTTATATGTTTATTATAGCAAAACCATGATTATTGATTACCATTTGTAACAGAAATACAAGAGAAATACAAAAATATCGTTTTAAGGTACATTGTTTACTTGTCATTAACTTACAAAACCAGTGAGCAATGCAAACGTATTGTCTAATACAGCTGTTAAGGGAGTGCTTGTGATTTAGACGATTCCAAGCCTGCCAAAGCGTCACAATTTAACTGCACCAATAATCTGTAGTACCACATCTCTACACAAATAACCTCATCTTTATTATGAATCAATAACTACTATGATAACAACCATAAACATATTCCGAGAGGAAGCAGCGGCATTTTGAGCATGTGTACACGTCACGAATCACATCAAATTGAGTCACGTGCCGTCTTTGGACATGGGCGAGGCTTCCGACGTCACACATGGATGGGCGTGGCTTCTGACGTCACACGTGGATGGGCGTGGCTTCTGACGTCACACTTGGATGTGGGCCGGGTTGGATATCCACCGCAGGATGCAGCGAGCTGTAGTTGAAATAATCACGTTGGTCCACTTTGGAAAAGATGTCACGGTTAGTTTAAACTCACAACCATAAATAGGGCTTTACTGCCCTCTTGTGTCAAATTATATTTCAATATTTATTTTTCCAACAAATAAAACCAAACCCGGAATAAAAGCCCATCCAATACACCCTTTAACATGACCAAAATGCTTAATTAATTTTCAGAGTTGACTCATTCTCCTCTATGCTGCGGGCGTTCTGATCTACGATCGCATCTCGCGATCATTCATTCAACTATTTTAAAAAGGCAGGATAAAGCACCAATCCACACTTTTTATTACTCAAATTCATTTAAAAAAATGTAAACTCAAGTATAGAATATAAGTACACAAAAATACTGTTGCTAATGAGAAGACAGACAAGACTGCTGCAGGTTATGTGTAATTTTATGGGTATTTTTTTATTGAGAGTTGTGTTATTGCAGTAAGATCTTTAAGTTTTTGTGATATGTGTGTTAATGTTAGATCAGATGTTCTTGGTTCATTTACTGCCTAATGTATAAATGTGTCTCTCACCGTCATGGAGAGAGATGTGTAAGGCAATAGCGCCTTGCCTAAGTAGTTTGTATGTGTTCTATAATAAAAGAGGAAAAGTCAATTTTTTTCTTATTTGTTAATTCAAAAATTTCTCCACCTGTGGGAGGGAGCACTCTGGGTACCCCTTTCGTTTTTTTTTCGGTCGAAAAATAAAGTTTCTCCAATCTTCTCAAAACTCTGGATTCTAATAGAGGGCCATGAGACTTAAACCTGAGTGCAAAAATTGAGGCTCTAGACCCTTCCAGAGCTGAGATATCGAAACTCAAAATTTCGACCCGAAAAAAAAACGACAGTGTTACCCCTTACGTTTTTTTCAGTTTTTGGGCGAAAAATCAAGTTTCTCCAATCTTCTCAAAACTCTGGATTATGATAGAGGGCCGCGAGACTTTGACCTGAGCGCAAAAATGGAGGCTCTAGACCCTTCCAGAGCTGAGATCTCGAAACTCAAAATTTCGACCCGAAAAAAAACGACAGTGTTACCCCTTACGTTTTTTTCAGTTTTCGGGCGAAAAATCAAGTTTCTCCAATCTTCTCAAAACTCTGGATTATGATAGAGGGCCACGAGACTTTGACCTGAGCGCAAAAATGGAGGCTCTAGACCCTTCCAGAGCTGAGATAACGAAACTCAAAATTTCGACCCGAAAAAAAAAAAAACGACAGTGTTACCCCTTACGTTTTTTTCAGTTTTCGGGCGAAAAATCAAGTTTCTCCAATCTTCTCAAAACTCTGGATTATGATAGAGGGCCGCGAGACTTTGACCTGAGCGCAAAAATGGAGGCTCTAGACCCTTCCAGAGCTGAGATATCGAAACTCAAAATTTCGACCCGAAAAAAAAACGACAGTGTTACCCCTTACGTTTTTCTCAGTTTTCGGGCGAAAAATCAAGTTTCTCCAATCTTCTCAAAACTCTGGATTATGATAGAGGGCCGCGAGACTTTGACCTGAGCGCAAAAATGGAGGCTCTAGACCCTTCCTGAGCTGAGATATCGAAACTCAAAATTTCGAAACGAAAAAAAAACGACAGTGTTACCCTTTACGTTTTTTTCAGTTTTCGGGCAAAAAATCAAGTTTCTCCAATCTTCTCAAAACTCTGGATTATGATAGAGGGCCGCAAGACTTTGACCTGAGCGCAAAAATGGAGGCTCTAGACCCTTCCAGAGCTGAGATATCGAAACTCAAAATTTCGACCCGAAAAAAAAAACGACGGTGTTACCCCTTACGTTTTTTTCAGTTTTCGGGCGAAAAATCAGGTTTCTCCAATCTTCTCAAAACTCTGGATTATGATAGAGGGCCGCGAGACTTTGACCTGAGCGCAAAAATGGAGGCTCTAGACCCTTCCAGAGCTGAGATATCGAAACTCAAAATTTCGACCCGAAAAAAAAACGACAGTGTTACCCCTTACGTTTTTTTCAGTTTTCGGGCGAAAAATTAAGTTTCTCCAATCTTCTCAAAACTCTGGATTCTAATAGAGGGCCATGAGACTTAAACCTGACTGCAAAAATTGAGGCTCTAGACCCTTCCAGAGCTGAGATATCGAAACTCAAAATTTCGACCCAAAAAAAAACGACAGTGGTACCCCTTTCGTTTTTTTTTTTTTCAGGCGAAAAAATGAAGTTTCTCCAATCCTCTCAAAACTCTGGATTCTGATAGAGGGCCATGAGACTTAAACATGAGTGCAAAAATGGAGGCTCTAGACCCTTCCAGAGCTGAGATATTGAAACTCAAAATTTCGACCCGAAAAAAAAAATGACAGTGGTACCCCTTTCGTTTTTTTTTTTTAGGCGAAAAATGAAGTTTCTCCAATCCTCTCAAAACTCTGGATTCTGATAGAGGGCCATGAGACTTAAACCTGAGTGCAAAAATGGGGGCTCTAGACCCTTCCAGAGCTGAGATATCGAAACTCAAAATTTCGACCCAAAAAAAAAAACGACAGTGGTACCCCTTTCGGGTTTTTTTTTCGGGCGAAAAATAAAGTTGACTGCAAAAATTGAGGCTCTAGACCCTTCCAGAGCTGAGATATCGAAACTCAAAATTTCGACCCGAAAAAAAAAAACGACAGTGGTACCCCTTTCGTTTTTTTTTTCAGGCGAAAAATGAAGTTTCTCCAATCCTCTCAAAACTCTGGATTCTGATAGAGGGCCATGAGACTTAAACCTGACTGCAAAAATGGAGGCTCTAGACCCTTCCAGAGCTGAGATATCGAAACTCAAAATTTCGACCCAAAAAAAAAAAAGGCAGTGGTACCACTTTCGTTTTTTTTTTTCAGGCGAAAAATAAAGTTTCTCCAATCTTCTCAAAACTCTGGATTCTAATAGAGGGCCATGAGACTTAAACCTGAGTGCAAAAATGGGGGCTCTAGACCCTTCCAGAGCTGAGATATCGAAACTCAAAATTTCGACCCGAAAAAAAACGACAGTGTTACCCCTTACGTTTTTTTCAGTTTTTGGGCGAAAAATCAAGTTTCTCCAATCTTCTCAAAACTCTGGATTATGATAGAGGGCCGCGAGACTTTGACCTGAGCGCAAAAATGGAGGCTCTAGACCCTTCCAGAGCTGAGATCTCGAAACTCAAAATTTCGACCCGAAAAAAAACGACAGTGTTACCCCTTACGTTTTTTTCAGTTTTCGGGCGAAAAATCAAGTTTCTCCAATCTTCTCAAAACTCTGGATTATGATAGAGGGCCGCGAGACTTTGACCTGAGCGCAAAAATGGAGGCTCTAGACCCTTCCAGAGCTGAGATATCGAAACTCAAAATTTCGACCCGAAAAAAAACAACAGTGTTACCCCTTATGTTTTTTTCAGTTTTCGGGCGAAAAATCAAGTTTCTCCAATCTTCTCAAACTCTGGATTATGATAGAGGGCCGCGAGACTTTGACCTGAGCGCAAAAATGGAGGCTCTAGACCCTTCCAGAGCTGAGATATCAAAACTCAAAATTTCGACCCGAAAAAAAAAACGACAGTGTTACCCCTTACGTTTTTTTCAGTTTTCGGGCGAAAAATCAAGTTTCTCCAATCTTCTCAAAACTCTGGATTATGATAGAGGGCCGCGAGACTTTGACCTGAGCGCAAAAATGGAGGCTCTAGACCCTTCCTGAGCTGAGATATCGAAACTCAAAATTTCGACCCGAAAAAAAAAACGACAGTGTTACCCCTTACGTTTTTTTCAGTTTTCGGGCGAAAAATCAAGTTTCTCCAATCTTCTCAAAACTCTGGATTATGATAGAGGGCCGCGAGACTTTGACCTGAGCGCAAAAATGGAGGCTCTAGACCCTTCCAGAGCTGAGATATCGAAACTCAAAATTTCGACCCGAAAAAAAAATGACAGTGTTACCCCTTACGTTTTTTTCAGTTTTCGGGCGAAAAATCAAGTTTCTCCAATCTTCTCAAAACTCTGGATTATGATAGAGGGCCGCGAGACTT